CAAAACAACGAAAAATAGACAAACGAAAATGATTTTAAAACAATAAAATAAATCCGACGCATCTCACGATATCTGAATAACTATCGATTAACGGTCACTAATCTCTACACAAATAAAATAAATTTAATTTTGATACAAATATGAGACCAAATTAATTTTAGTATATCCCTTTTTCCTGTAAACCCCTTCACAAAATTTCAATACATCATTTTCACTCTTTGCCAATTTTATTTGATATCTACTCTGTGTTTTTGGGTGCCTAACGCTTTGGCACAGTGTGCGTTTTCTCACTATTGACGTTTGTCATAGATTTCTCGTTTTTTTAATCTATATTTAGGAAAAAACTTATTTTGATTTACTTTAAAGCGTTATAGTTTACTACTTTGTAGCCTTGCTTGTTCCTTCATTGTATAGGTATTAAGCATATGTAGTGCAGGATTTTTAAAACGATTCTGATAATTTGTTAATTTTATTATATAAACGTTTTTATCTATATAATCATCTGTTGAGAGATTTCTTGTTGAGGTCAGTCGGGTGATGGACCTATAGTTGTTCATTTGTTTCCGATCAATCTGGTCTTCTATGCTTGTTATTTTTGTAGGTCAGCGTTTCGAGTTTTTTTTTTACACAAACTTTAATTTATTAATAATTAAAATAGAAAAACAAGCTCCATAGAAGCTATTGAAATGTTAAAAGGAATCTGATAGACTAGAACTGCATAGACAAGCAGACCGAAAAATGGTAGGAAGCTCCAAACTACAAGTTCATCACCTTTCAGACCTTAAGAAGAAATCTCACTATTTAAAAATTATTTATTTTTCATGGATATTTCATTATAATATCTTTCATCTTTTAAATTACAGATTGTGTTTTTGAAAAGGAAGAAGACAATCCGAACTGAATGCGGTATACATCCCAGGTACCGTTTATGTCTAATTACTGGATACATTGCACCCGACTATTTGCTGCTGATTTATTGGTAGGGCCCCCTGCCGACCGGTGGGGAATTTTACCTCTGCCGACCTTTTTATCGGGGTGAAATATTCCAACAAAAACTGTTCCTCCATGGCCTAGAAAGTCCCCGATTTATTAACCTGAGAGCAGCGTTTTATGCCAATTGTTTTTCTTCAGTTTAAAAAAACAAACCTCTTAGAGATTTATCCTTAAATGCGGCCCGTTGGAACCTCACGCCGTGGCTAATTTTACTACCCTCCATTTGCATCCGCATACGCCTCTCGGGTTTACGACCGTTTTGCGCTGGGTCCCCTTTGTCGAGTTTCATTCAAAGACTGGCGGTGAGAAAGATGAGATTTGAATGTCCTCCGGCACCGGCTATGAACTCGATTCAAATAACTTTTACAACCGGATTTAATTTGCTTTAACAATTGTCGGCGAAGCTTCCATGCATCCATGTCCATTCTTTTCAGGTTGATGTGACTAAGAAACATCAAACACAAATAGAATGGTGAAGAGATGAGATGATGTGAGATGCTCAGGGAGCACAGTATCAAAAAAATATTAGTCACTGCCTTAATTCATAAATATAAAATTGATCTGTTACGCTAAGTGATGCTTTATCAGAATTATTCAATGCATAAATCAAATGAAATATCAACGTTTTATTGAATAATGAGAAGTGTGTTTCAAATACTGGAATATTTAAAGTAAATTTAAGGTAAAAATAGGCTAAGCAATATTTAGAAGAGAGAAAGAGAGAGAGAGAGAGAGAGAGAGAGAGAGAGAGAGAGAGAGAGAAAGTCAATAAGAGATCAACAGAATGATAAAAAGGTATCAAGGTAGACAGGTAGAAAGGGATAAGGATGGAAAGAGAGAAAAAGAGAAAATAATAAGAGAAAGGTAAATACATGCATGGGGAAAGAGGGAAGGAGAGAGAGCGAGAAAGGAAAAGGATGAGAATAAGAGATAAAGAGATATATAGGTATACAGATAGATGGATATGAATATAATAATTAATGCCAGTTGACTACAGAGAATAATTTAAGGAAGAAATATTTTTTTGTATAAATTGTGTTGAGTTCTGATAAATGTCAATAAATTTTTCGTGCCGTTTTGTTTTGAATGGGATGTTTCTAATGCAATTAATAACAAATGTTTAAATTGAGGAAATATAAGCGAGAATATTTTATTATAAATTAAACTCATCACGTAATATTATTGAGTTTGATAGATTTTTTATCGTTAAATTTTCAAATTACTTTGATCCTCGCCGACAAGTCAGCCACTTGAACGTTTTAAAATTTGATTCCCCTCTCAGAATACGTTTCAATTTTATTTAACTGACCTGGTTTTCCTATCTTATCCTACCGAATTCTTTGAGAAAAAAAACTCCGCGACGTATCCACCTAACAGTCACACCCTCTGAATATTCAGCTCATTAAAAACGAATTGAGCAAATGGATCGAACGTTCCGACAACCTATGCCTGATCGTCTATCTAGACAGTAATGTGTTTTTACTTTCCACTTGGAGAATGCAACATTTAAAAATAATTACATATAGAGAAATAATCAACAGAATCGTAAAGTGGAGGCTTGAACTGTTTGAAGATCAAAACTAATTAACACTGTTGTGAAATACTGCTGAAGATTCGCCTTTGTTAATAAATTATCACGTAATGAACTTAGATTTTTAAATCAGTTGTCGGTTATTTTCACATTGCAGTTTTGGGTTCGAATCCCAGTTTTGCTGTGCTGCTAAATTTCTCACCCTTCGTAACCTGTATCCATTTATAACAAACTGTATTCCCAATAATGTTGATAAAATGGCGCATCGACCTAGACCCAAATCTACACCGAGAGGCAAAAAAGTAGCCACCCTTAATAAGTTGTATATTTTAGACAATCCAATATTGATAATGTTACAACAATATTTGGTCCGTTTTTAAGGATTAGAGGTAAATAAATCACAGATAAAATCTCCAATTTAAATTTTAATGTAATTGATGAGCCTTCGAAAATGTAATTGTTATATAAAACAAGCTCAGAGGCCAAGGGCAATTTAAACGATAGGTTCTTTTATTAAAGTCTTTAAAATTTTCATTAATAATTTATAATTTTCCCACAAACGTCCTAATGGAAAGTATAAGGGGGAGAGTCCGGAAGATTCGTTTTCAATATCAGACAATGATTTTATTTTTTTGTTTATTAGCAAATCTATTTTATAAATTACAGCACGCTTTACAACCACGCTGTGTTCATCACGCCAGTGTACACTGAAAACAAACTTTGAGCCCTGACGATGTCTCAATAAAGATCGAAACGTTGGAACGATAAAGAAAATGTTTTTCTAAAACCTACGTCCCACCAGAACGCATCTCACGATCTCCAAATAATAATTTTTTTCCATGGTGCGTTGAAAAATTCACTACTCTGCATGTAGAAATATATTAGCGTTATTGTTAGGGCAGTCGAGTTTTTGGAAATGGTATCAAAAGAATTATATATCAAGATAAATAGAATTTTTCCATAGCAAACAATACAACAGCGTTTTCTAGGTTGGTGCATAATTAATGCAGGTTTTGAAAATTTGTCTTATTTTCTCAGGTGCTTGTCATGTAAACAAACCTAAATTCTTAAATCTAATTTATGGGTTAATTTAATAAATTCAACAGTTACTTTTTCTACAAACCGTTTTGGTGTATATTGAATTTTATAAGAGTAAGGAACTGCGGAAATACATATGTCGAAACTAGATTTTCGTCGAATTTATTTGTGCAAATTTAATTGTGGCCCAAACCATGGAAGCATTAGCGAATGCACAATGTAGCGATGGTTTCAGAGATTTCGATCTCGAAGACAGGGAAGGCCTCGGTTGTGGACGTCGACCGACTCAAAACGTTGATTGAAGAAAATTCACGTAAGACAACACGGGAACTTGCGGAAGAGCTTTGTGTTGACCACAACCATTGCTTATCATCTGGAGCAAATTGGTAAAGAAACCCTACAAGTGAATACTGCACGAACTAAGTGAAGCCCAAAGAAATCGAGGCTTTGCGATTTGCACGATTCTTCTGTCGCGTTACCAAAATGATCCAAATCTAGATCGAACCATCACGTGCGATTAGAAATGGATTCAGTTTGATAACAGGAGGCATACAGGTCAGGTGGACAAGGATGATGCTCCAAAACACTTCCTGAAACCAAATCTGCACCCCAAAAAGTTATAGTGACTGGTGGTGCACTGCTGGGGTTGTTCACTATAATTTCCTGAATTTTGTTGAAACTTACAGCAGAGAAATATTGCTAAGAAATTGACAAAATGCACGGGAATCTGTAAAGTCTTTGTCCAGCATTAGTAAATGGTAAGAGGAATTAAGCGGAAATTAAGAACTTAAAATATGAAACCTTACCGCACCATCCTTAATCACCCGACCTGTACCTACAGACTTCCACTTTTTTTAAGCATTTTGATCACTTCTTGAGGAATAAAATTTTTAGAGAAACGGTGAAGCAGAAAACTATTTACAAGTCTTTAATGCGAGTCAAAATTAAGATTTTTAGTCAGCGGAATAAAAGCGCTTTTTAGATATATAGATTGTCATGGAAAATAATTCAAATAAATTTTCTTTATTTTATAAAAAAATAGTTTTGACTGCCTTTTCAAGACCTGCATTATTTTAGCATCAGCACAATAGTTATTTTGAATTTGATTCAAATAGAAAAAATAAATGTAAATAAAAATACATGTTAAACGATGTATCTTTGTTTGGTATTTTTCAGTTTTTCCAGGTGAAAATTCCACAATGGGACAAACCCCACGACCGGCTAGATAGTACCAAATAGTTTTGGACCCCATCAGACCGACCGGCGATGATAAATAAGCCTGGATGTGGTTTTTGTCAGAACGAGAGCGTTTCCTTTGGAAAGGTGGCACGGGGCAACAAGTCGGCCCCGTTTTAATTAAAACCGCCGGGAAACGGAGGGACAAACGCAACCCCCGGAGCCGGCCTTTTTCCACGGGGGGGCCCCATGAAACGGGGTGGCTCGCCTTGGAGGGGGTAGTCGAAAGGGGTGGGGGCCCCCTCGGCCTTCAGTCCTCAACCAACTTTCAGCCCGGACAGTGTCATTCCGACCCCGTGAGACCTACGAGTGGCCGCGAGTGTATGTGCCTCAGTGGAGAGGATGAGCCCAATCAAGGGAAGCGACACAAGGACCTGAATGCGTCTATACTTGTTCACGTAAGTACCATTTTCAATTTAGTTAAAAAAAAAATACAATAAAAAACTGGGGGCACTTATTTTTTCAAAACTTCGAAAAAACGCAATCTACTTTTATTCCAACATTTACATTTTAATTTTTTTCAATGTCAAATGCTACAGTTTTCCTATAAAATGTAATATTTACTTTTGTTAATGTTTTCACAGTACTACAAAAATCAAATATGAACATATTTGATTCACAGATTTCTATATAATTTTATTTCAATTTGTCTTTTTATCGGCATAAATTACACCATTTATTTATTCTTTATTTTTCCAAACTTTCCTCAAATTTATGTAATTTTCACACACTTCCCTTTTACATTCAATTACTTTTTTAATGTCAAATACAATAATTTGACATATTTAATATTAAACACTTTTATTCCTTTTTTCACACTGTCAAAATTATCAGCTAAAAACATATTTAATCGATTATTCATACAAAAATTATTTTAAATTCCTTTTTGCTTTCATACTTTACATACTTTTACCTCGATAGTTTGTTATATTATATACTTTTTATATATAAATATATTTATTATTTTTTCTACAATATCGCAAATATAAACGTTTTTTGCCAACTAACCAACTAAACATAATTTTAACTGGAGATTTTTTTAATATTAAAAATGTATCTCAATATAAACGTTTTATTACATTTTCTACAATACCACACAATGAATTGCTTATAAAGCTTTTTTGATATATTATGCATGCAGAATTTTATTTGATTAGATTTCTTTTTATTCCTTTTCTCGTCGTAAATTGCTTTTTACGTTCATGCTTAACAGAATTACACCTGGACGTAGTCTTCTTTATATTATTAACATTTTTAAACACAATCTTTTTCTGCATTACCTCACATATCTGTTAATAACTAATAAATTGCATTTTTCTTGCGTTATGAACATTTGTAAACATCAAAACTTTTCCTTCATAAATTTGCATAACAATAAAAAACTTAAAATTCATCAGTACATTTGTTTTATAATAAACAGTTTTTATTAATGATTTTTTTCTCATATGATCACGTTATGCAGATTTTTCGAAAACATATTTTTTTATATTTAATGATTATTTGAGTTGCTTATATTTTAGCTTTTTCCAAAATCATGTACTTTTGGTATTTATATTATAAATCTTTATCCATTTTTTACATCTATTTTCATATACATATAAAAATATCGTATAGTACACTTATTAGTCTTTCCTCTCTTAAAATAATTTTACGTTTTAATTTACGCACACAAACACACACACACACATACATTTAAAAATATTTTATTAAGGGGTAAGGTATATTTTTTATAATTTTATAATTGTCATAATTCACGTTACGTATGCTATACGTATAAAATGGTTCCCCCCTCGTCAGTACACACAACGGGTAGTGCCATCCTGTACGACATGAATTTCTTTAGTTTTACCTTATAGCTTGAAATTTTGTTTGTTTGTTAGAATTGTGTTTTATACATATATCCTAAGTGTTACGCTAATAATTTTGGTTGAAATCAGACATATTCGTCTGTTTGTTATTTGGCTTGTTTTTGAAATGGTACATATATAGTATAGGTTTAAAATTTTCTGTCAGTCACACGCCATGCTGATTTATGTGTTCATGTGCTATGCATGTACGCTTTTGCATAGTTTTACATGTTAAACATGCGTTAGAGGTACTACTTAATATTTTTATCTTCACTTGGTCGTACATATTTTCTTAAACATCGCGTATTCACGCTACTTTTTCTTTAAACCTTATAATTTACGTGTTAGTTTTACCCACTTTTTATGGTAGAATGTTATTCCCTACCAACCATGTTTCCAACATTTTGGGCGCATGCAGCTGTGTTATATACATTTTTTATATCACGTTGAATTCTCTAACATGTTTGTAAAAATATCGTATTGGAATTCTAACGAATGTGCATGTGTAGAATTTTTAATTGGTTTCTTCTTGCATTTTTTGTGTGTCTGCTAGTATATCACTTACTCTTGCATTCACTCTATGTTTCTTTTTCTACCTCTTCCCCCCTCTCACCCTTTTTCACCCTCTCTCTTTCTCTTCATTTCTTTCTACCTCTACCTCTCTTTTTCGCTATCTATCTACTTCTCTTCCTCCCCCCTATCTCACTCACTCACTCTCTCACTCTCACTCTCTCTCTCCCCCTCTCTCTCTCCCAGCTATAGCTCTGGGTTCGAATCTCGGCATAGCCGATGGCTTTTTAATTTAGAATAATATGAAAAAGGTATTTAAAGCAGCTCTGACCACTCGTCCGCGCCCACCCGACGTATGCCAAAAAATACTGTCTATTGATTGTAGTAACTAAATTATTCAGTTAAAATTATTACAGATTTGAACAACATAATCGACTTTGTCTGTACAGTACAGATGCATTCATAAACATTTTGGCTGGAAATGATGTATCATAGAATTTAACGAAAAAGCCTGGGCGTTTTAAAAAACAATGGCAATTTTTAAACAAAATTCAAAACTAAAACATATAAAACATAGTTATGGTCTTTTGGCTTTTTTATTCATAATTTCACATCAGAATTCATTAGTACGCGATATCCGTCAGGGCCGCATTCGCTGCATGTTTTTGCAATTCAATCAGCGTTGAATCACTTTATAGCGCTTTGGAGAGCGCTGTAAATTTAATTGCCCCGCGATGCCCCGTTTGCTTAATCGTTGTTAATCGATTGCCACCGTGTTCATTTGAAAAATACACCACAGGAAAAGCTAAATATCATAGGTCGAGGTTGAAAGAAGGGTGCTTTTTTCACCAAACTAACTAGCTAAAAACTAGCAAATATTATTTTTAATTCATATAAACTTCTTTGTATATTGAGCACATATGCTACTTACATGCAAGGTGGCCAGAATTATATGCTCCACCCCGTGTTTTTAATACTACAAAATAATAATTGACTTTTGTTTTCCAGATAAAACGCTATTGTTTTGATTTTAATTGTTTTGAAGTGCTTTTTTCTAAAAACACAATAAAAAGAAATTTTAAAATTATGGTTAATAAAAATCAGAGCCGCCTTAAAAAAATAAATTGTTTTTCTCATGGGTACTTTGCATTTTTTTAAATTTAATAAATTATAAGAATATATATTTTAATGAAATATATTTTACCGATTTAATTTAAACAATAGTTGTAATCGGTAACTGTATTGAACGTTTGGTCAAGTTTTTACATTTTTTTTTTAATTGATAAAAAAAAACAAAAAATTACATCAATTCATTTCTGACATTAATCTGATTACAATATTCAGTTTTATTTATTTAATAGGGTGTAAAGTCAATTGTAAACTGTATATAATATTTAATACCTATGCTCAGATGATTTCCTACAAAATCCTAAACACTTTTATCCTATAGTATCAACGGATGAAAACAAAAATCGATATAGTACTATATATGTATAACTAAATTTTGTTATAATTTAATTTAACAAAAAGAAACAAAACGAAATAAAAATAATAAAGCAGGCCTGACGCATTGCTATGTTTGCAAGTATTCGATATTCAAATAGAAATAATGATGTATTACACTATTCAGTGAAAATGTATCGAAATATTTAAATTTATACGTCGGCAAAATTAAACCGAAATAGCTTCATTTACAGATTTTAAGGTAAATGACTTTAAAATCTTCACTTGCAGAAATGTTGTTCTGATTTCAAAACAGCGAACGTCATTATTTTGAACGATTGATGGTTTTCTAGAGTGATGTGCACGATTTGATAGTAAAACTCTCATAAGTAAAGAATCCGACCGTGATTTAATCTTGAGCCAAAAATAACCGCACTGAGATTTAAAATCCGGTTTTACTTGTGAGAAGTTAATTATTTTTTTTTTAATTCTTCTCTTATCTCCAATCAAAACTCGCTCTTCTACGATAAACAAAAATATTTTACTATCTCATTTTTCCTATAGATTTCCTACATCGAGGAAGAAAGAGGGAATGGGAAGCAGAATCCTTTTATAAGGCATTGGCGTAAATATCTAATGTTATCCTCCTTTCCAATCGAGGCGGTGTCGAAGGTTAAACGGCGGTCAAGATTTTTTTCTTTTATACAGACGCGAGGATCGTAGTCGAAGTTATGCAAATAGACAAAAAGGAAAAAGCCATCTAATAAGGAAAATATGACTCCGCCAATAAGTCAAGCGGTAAGGTCGGCTTAGTGAGCATTTTGCTACTTCCTTCTAAATCTGTCTAAAAATTCGTCCCGTTTATCTTCCGGCCGAGTTACGCGCCCTATTATTACATAACGAGTTGAGAAAGCGCTGATGTTTATTGTAAGATAGGTTTATTGCACATCGTATTTACACAAAAACGCCGTTACAAAACTCCAACAATTAATTCCACCGACAAAGTCGTCCGGGCCATTAAGCAGATTTAATATTATGAGGATAAAAACAAAATGTACCCGGTGTTTGTAAAAGAAAATGCTGAAATAAAATCCCAAATAATAAAAAAAGGTCTTTAATAACTGTTTGCCGACCAACATTTAAGAGGTCAATAAAACAGTCTAGCGTCGGTTTAATTTTGGAATATTTTTTTTTTTTTATCTAGTCATTTAAACACACGGCATCGTTTTAATCAGTTTTAGATAGGCAGATAGACAGATCGATTGATTGATTGATAGAGATAGACAGATAAACAAAGATTGTGTGAGAGAGGGATAGCGTAAAAAAGGGCAGAGAGAGAAAGAGGGAGAGGGAGATAGAGACGGAGAGGGAGTGAGAGAGAAAGGGGGAGAGGGGAGAGAGGGAAAGGGGGAGGGAGTGAGAGAGAAACGGGGAGAGGGGGAGAAAGAACGGGGGAGAGAGAGAAAGAGGGAGGGAGGGAGGGAGGGAGAAAGAGAGAGAGAGAGAGTGAGAGAGAGAGTGACCATGACAGAGTGAGAGGGGGTGGAAAGGGAGATATCGAGAGAGGCAGGGAAAGAGATAGGTAAATACAGAAAACG